CACAACCCCAAAATACTTTAGCCATGAGAAACAAAATACTAACCATGAAACTGTATAACCCTAACAAAACTTTGGCCCTGACCCTAAACACCTGAGCCCGAACCCTGAAAAATCGGCTTACACTTAAAAAAGTTGATTAATTGTGCTCAACTTTTGACATGTCCGAAATGATGCCCCCACAAAGGCAATAACAAGAGTCATCATCCATGATGAAATTTAAGGACGGTGGCAAACATCAGCTCCTGGCTGACAAAAAGCGCGTCAGTTGCTGCTGACAAAATGCCCCCCCCCCCCCCTGCAGTCACAGGGCGGGCGGGTGGGAAAACGAAGCAACTCTCCAGCAAGCCACTGAAAGTACTGGAGGGCAAACCCCTTTTCTACGCTCAAGTGCAACCTGAGGCGCAACATGCAAGAATCCATGCAAACGCAAGCACTAGCAAGCTAGAAATCAAGACGCGCTCGGATACCCGGCATGTTGACAATTACAGCATTTGCAAGTCCTTGCGCCCTAAACAATACCAAGCCTTCTACCCGAGACACGCCCAAACCCTCAAAGCCTAAACTCTAAACACCTCCAAGCCCTTGACCGCACACACTATACCGTAAGCATTCCCAAGCCCTAAACCTTTAACACCACCATACCCTCAACTCTACGCGCAAGAACCCTAAACATTCCCAAGCCCAAGCCCCAGACCCTAAACACCATATCCTAAACATTCCCAGGCCCTTAACCTCAACGCCACCAAACCCGAAACCCGAGACACCCCCAAACCCCCAACTAGTTGTAAGCACTCCATGCCCTCAATGCTAACCACCACGAAGCCCAAAAACCATTTGTTTGTCGGAGGCTTGCAGCACATGTGGGATTTTGAGATTAGCCTTTGCAAGGTGTTCCTATGCTTTCAGGGGAATACTAGCGCCACGGCCGCGGTGCCGCCACGGCGCGCGAGAATTGCAAAAATCACTACTATGTTGAGCTTTGCAGTCTAAATCTCTCTTTTTTGATATGCATCAACACACGTGCCAACAGGGGACAGGGAATGATGAGTTGGTCACTTTGAATACGTCTAAATGAAAAGTTAGACGTGAAGGGACCCACCTCTGGACAATCTGATCAACGCCGTTCATGCATGTTTTGACCTTATTCCGGGTATGAATGTAATGTATCCGTGGCCCCAAAATCTTTCAGGGTGGGAGCCGACGGCGGATCGATCTAGAACTGAATTTTGTGTTTGAGCCCTGGCTGCAATCGACTGCTCCAACTGATCCTTGTCTAAGCCCCAATCGTTTTGCGAGCTTCACAACCAGACAGCGTGACCTCGTTAACTCCAAAGCCCGCAGCTCTGACCAGAAACGCTTGTGCGTGAGAGCACGAAGCGAACAGCGCGCGATCGAATCCTTTGCCATCAGTCGGTAGACGTCAAGCATTTCAAGCACTCGAATAGTACCCTTGGGCATGACGGAAACATGTGGTTCAATATGAACACTCGCACAAGAACATCCGTTATCATTTGGCAGTTTTCTGGATTGTTGTCAGAATCCCGAAAAAAGCTGTTGAACAAATGTTGTTGTTTGCAAAAGTTGCAACTGTAGAACCTGAATCAATCTCTAGCACAACTGCCCAGCATGGAAATGGATTGCACGATGCTGAACTTCAGCTCAAGCATTATCGGTCCCGACTTGCGCGGCTGTTTGGAGACCGCGAAGCTAGACAGCAATTGGCGCAAATACTGCTTGCACGCATCACGCCAACAGCTATTCAGATTTTTCATTGAGGCACCATGGGCGCCGACCAGTCGAAATGCGCGTGCTGTGGCGACAAGGATGAAGGATTGGTCCCATGGGAGTTTCGCAATCTGGTGCAGTGATGTCATGACAGCCATCATGACCTTGTGCACTCGGAAGGCAAAGACGTTTCCATCCAGCCTGTTGAAGGGAGTGGATTGACCGGCACTGAAGAAGTAGCTGAGACGTCCAGATCTTAGTTGCTCGTACAGCACAATAGTAGAGGTGTTGCATCAGTTGCTGCCGCACGGGCTCGGCATTTTGCAGCAGTTTTGTATGACATGCGCACAGCCTGGTTGAGGAACATAGCGCCTGCATCCGCAGAGTCTGCAAGCAAGGCCTGGAGCTTCTTCAGTTCGCATAGCCACAACGAGCACCAGCTTAGATAAATTGATGCTACCGATTAACAGTCTATGCGCCACAACCGTTTCACCGCTATAGCATTGTTGTCCAGGTTCATGGCCGTGCAATGGTGGGCATTTGCTGTGTGAAGGTGAATGCATGGGTTGGATGTTTTTCAACGGAGTGGAGTCGTTGCATTTGTATTGGCCGCAGCCAGTCTATCAGGCTCTAGAAATCAAGATGTCCCCCCTAGTCAACGCCATGGATGCGGCAACGACATTGCATGATGCATTGCCTGCCAGTGTCAACGGAACATGAGTTCATCCAAGAGGAATTCATGGAGGACAGGAGCATTTGTAATAAAAATTGTAATGATAAGAAAACCGCTAATTGGTTTGTGTCCGCAAGGGTGCTCCAGATTCTGTGCATGCAAGTGGCTAAAGCATTCTTTTGAAGCAACCTCTGAGGGCGTGAGCACCCAACTGTGAAACAGCGTTTGGGCTGCGAAGTCGCTTCGATCTACTCCAATCACTGCTTGTCCGGTGATCATGGAATGTTGTCAGGCAACGCCTTTTTGGTGGCCGGGACACATGATGGTATGGTGGCATTTGCTCGACACGCACGTCGAATGTTACTTGAGGGCCTGGTCAAGACAAATCATGTTTCCCTGCCCGCCGTAAGGCGGTCCTTTGTCTCACCCTGTGTTTTCACGTGAGCCACTGTTCGCACCCCAGAAGTGTTGGTTGCTTTGCAAACCACTCCGCTCCATGGCCCCGTTGCGCACCCCAGCGCCCTGCTTGCCGAGGAAAATGCCCTGCTTGCCACTGAAACACTCATGGCTGTGGAAATGCTTGCTAGAGGCGCCAACGCGGTAGCTGTTCCCAAGTTGTTCAGGTGAAGGACAGCGAGCAGGCCCTCCCACTGCTTTGGCTTGACCGGCTTGCAAGTTTGGCATGGAGGTTAAACAACGTTTTTGTTTGGGTTTTCGGGGCCTTGAAGGCACTCACATTAGAAGCGTTTGAAGCAGAATGGCAGAAATGTAGCCCTACACTTTCTCGTGTGCGAAGCTTACCGGTTTTGTTGCAGTCCAGGCAAGTTTTTCATCAAAACAGGGTTTTGACAGTGACGACCGAGAAATACGCAAGTGTTTAGAAAAGGCAAGCAGGCCGGTTTGAGGTATGTGGGCACGGCTTACGCAAATACACGCGCAACTTTCATGTGGCGCGCAGGGCCGACACATGCAGAGGCATAGTGTCGGATAGGAGGAGCTTGAGGGGGACGAATGAAAGAAGGAAGGGGTGAGCTCGTGAATCACGTACAAGTACCATGCCTGCCTTTTTCGACGGGCACCTGTGCCGACAAGTAGCAAAAATGGGTCCATTTGTACAGACTTGGCATGGCTGTGGGCATGCTCCGTGAGGCAACTTTGAACTTCAAAGACGATGCCACCTACACAGGCCACATCTGCTTCACGGCATGTATGAGGTTGAGAGGCTGCCTTGCACTTTGCTGTCTGCACAGGAGGTGTTGTGAATGGCAAGCGGGAAGGATATGGCTTCCCAGCCGCATTTGATACCTCTGAGCTGAGAATACTTTTAGAGATTCTATGAAGGCATCAGCGCTACAAGAAGTAGAATTCAGGTCAAAGCGGGTGCAAACATAAGGTGTAACGACAGAAGAAAAGCAACCAATCAGACAGGAGCGTTCAGCAACAAACAAAAACACGACTACACAGTCAACGAATCAAAAACTAAGAAAAACGGTCGGAGCTATCACCGCAAAAAAACGCCGAAACGCTGAAGACAGACAAGAATGCCTATGTGCATCCACGCACGCCCGGACCCGCCAACTCATCACACATGCGCACATTCAGTTGATAGCCGCATGCCACCGCAATCACAGCAAAACTGCAAATCCTACCACAGACTTGTGCAGACGCTGCCCAGCCTTTGAGAATCTTGACATGGCCACCAATAAAATTTGAAAGATGCTGATCTCATCACCACCATGCAACCACCGCAATAAATGTGGTTGGTTTCTTGGCGCAGTGGTAACTGCGATACGAAATCTGCTTCTTCAAATGCCTGCTGTAAAAATCGTGATCTAGCACACCACGCTGCTTGCATGCAACAGCTGAATTTCCTCAGCCACGTCAACTGCGGCTGAGGAACTTACAAGAGCCCGACAGAGACGCACGGTTCTGAGTGCAGACCAGGTGAACCTAAGTAGCCCGAGCATGTCAGCAACGCATCAGAGCTCGGGCGCTTCTAAGGTATGAGGGCCAGTGGAAAGATGTCTCGCACCCAGTCAGTTGTGAAGCTTGCTGTCGAAGTCTGGCTGCAGGGGGGGGGTTTTCTTCTGCCAGCACGGCCATGTTGGGAAGCTGTTTGTTTAGTTGGCCCCACATTGACAATGAGTACCGGGAAGATGCCATCCGTAAAGACCATCTCATATCAGTCCTAGCTGTTGATTGAAGTGGGGCACGTGGTGTTGCAGAGGAATGTGAAAACTCCCTGTAAAATTGGTGGCCAAATGTCTTCACATATCCCCCGGAAGGATTTCCAGGCTGCGGCTGCGTCTGCCGCAATACAGAGGTATAGCTGTGTAATCAAATAAGGGCAAGCATGAATCCAGAATCATCCAGAGCAAGTAGGGGATCCTGCGGGGCTGCTCTTTGCTGTCATAGGACAAGCAGAACGGCGAGGGCAAGCACACTTGGAGTGACGGTCGATCATACGAGGGCCAATATGTGAGCCTTGCCTGCCAGCCTTGTGATCTGGAAGATTGCTTGCATCAGCACACCGGCTTGATGGCGGAAGCTGGAGTGGAGCTTCTGGAGCCTAAGGAATGGCCGCTTCTCAGGCAAAGGAAAGATGGCCGCTTTACTCACATGGTTGAAACGAGCAAAAAAAGCGCAGTATTCAGAATGGATTGACACGTGACTCCTTCCAAGTTTTGGGACTAAACCTCTCGCTCAGCGATTCCTGAAATGAGTTGGCCGCACCAGCAGCATCTCGCAGCATCTTAGGTCTGGAGGACAGACAAGGCCATTAGCCAGCAGTCTTTTCTTGCATGTCCCTGAAGCTTTGCAGCGCACCATCAGATCATGCATCACGAATCTCAGAGATCCGGCTCCTGACAGGGCACCATGATCTATGAAGGACGGGCCATGCTTCCTGAGTCAGATAAAACGATGAGAGGAGAACTGTATGCCTTCTGACCGATAGGACTGTTGCTTCCTTCCATGCTGCCCAAATCAAAAAATCGGACTCAATAATGACTAATGCTTTGTGGCAGGAGACTACCTGGATGATGCTAAGCATGGCTTTGGAAAGTTCACTTGGCCAAACGGAAATGCTACTTTGGCATGAAAACTGGAGATGGCTTTGCAATCAAGATTTGACAGTCAACAAGGCATCCCATGACATGCCTGAGGTTTATGAGGGTGGATGGCAGAATGGAAAGCGACACGGAAAGGCGACCTTCGTTACGCCCAGCCCTCATCGTGGCATGCACTTCATGCGGGCCAATGCGACGTGTCGTGCTGCGCTCTAATTCGCATCCTATGTAAGGACAGTGTGCATACATGCTCACCCATTTGATAACAAGCGGACATTCTTGATGTTTGCATTGTGTTAAAGCTTGTCCAGACAGACAAGGAGAGGGAGGGAGAGAGAGAGGAGAGAGAAAAAAAAAACGCGACATGTTGCCAACAGATTAGCTTTTCAAGGTCCACCGGCAAGCAGAAGGACAGCCACTCAGCAATGGCTTGCACAGCTGTCAGCATGGTCACAACTTGATTGATCTGGTGGCCGCGCACGAAAGCCACGGGCAGACTGATTTCTGCATCATTTGGGCTATGCAGGAGGCAAAAATCATTTGTCTTTCAGGATGCTGTTTGCACTGATCAAAATTTTACGCTTGGTTGGGCAGCTTGAAACTGCAGCTGTCCTCGCGTGTGATGGAGTTGCTCTCTGAGTTGTTCGGTTTATGATTATTTCTTGTCTGGGAAGTGCCGCGTAAGCACGCCCTCGCCCTACGACACCTTTCAAATTCATTGTTACGGCGTGCTATGCTTCCCACAGCGAATACCTTGCTTGGGAGCCTTCCAGGAAATTCTATTGTCTAAGGGATTGCCGTGCCTCTCGGTGGAGGGGCTTGAGAAACATGTCCAAATAGGATATTATCATTATGGATGCTGCTTGCACCATTCCCCCCTACTTGAAAATTGAATATGGTTGGGGATAGCTGCGTTTGTCCCCGCTTCTTTCCAGTGCAGTCCCGGACCTGTGTCTGGAAAGTTGTGGTGGGCCAGATAAGTGCCGTGGCTGGAATCTAGAACATTCCGTCAGGTTTTGCGAGCGCTGACGCTGTTTTGAAGTTGTGCGATGTGTCTTGTGCTTACAAAGTAACATGCGATTGTGTGGGTGTGGATATTGTCATGAAAAAGCTCTTGAAGCGCATGATTAGAAGGATGGGACGATGCAGCTGACTGTGAAGAAATTGCTGGGAGAATCTAAACGAAGAGTCGTAGGACCCTGAAAGAGGAACATAAGCGGGGAGTTGCAACCTCGAAAGTCGAAAGCATGGGGCGATTTAGATTCTGGATCCTGCCCAGTGCTCGCTCAAAAAGATTATTTACAGAGATGTGGGGCTTTCTGAGGGCTGTCAGAGGAAAGCCAATACAAGGAGCATCGATACGTCCTGGAATCTTATATCGCTCGGCCCGTGAAGAAGGTTTAGAACGCCTTTCTGCAATGTAATCTGAGTTAGCGGCAGCAGAGTTCACCCACCCTGTCTACATGGAGTCTGCTACTTCGGGCTGGCACGCGCTGCAGCGGTGGGAGTGACATTTGCGCCATTGCAGCCGAACATCGCATTGTGAAGTATGTGCAGCAGCAGCGTCACCTGCATTTGCTCGTGCGGGTGGGGGCTACACCAGCAGTCGGGCATAGCGAGTTTCTCCTATGTTCCTCGCCCATCCTCATACCCTTTGTATTGGCGGACAGTGAAAGCGGTGGGGGTCAGCTAGACTCATTACCTCGCAATATTCCGCAACATGCCGGTTCATGTGCACATGAATGCCAATGACTGACCAGCAGGGCTAAGGTTCCGTTGCTAAATATCTCTGCAATGCCCATGAGCTATTGTCCCTGCCCGGAAGGTTGGCTTCTGGCATGATGACAAGTTTGTGAAGTGGGAGGGTGACGATGCTGAGCCCTCTCAAGCGTAAAGAACTGAAGGATTTCGGCCCAAAGATTTCTATTTCTTCAACAAATACCTTACTGTTTCTAAGGTAGGACAGTTTAGCCATAACTTGTTTGCGCCTTCTTGGCAAGCAAGCTAGCCAAGGCGGCAAGCCCCCAAAGTGGGCTTGTGCCGAGCACATGCCAGCAAAAGGTTGTACAACTACTTGAAAAGTCGCGTGCCTCAAACGGCGAGCAACAACAACACTCCACTCGTTACCTGTGCTGGTCAAGAAGCTCGCAGGTGTGAAACCACTCACTGCACCAGTGGCGGCAGGCATACACGGACGTAAGCTCCAAGGCAAGCCCCAAATAGCAAAGTGATGCCTGCAGCCACGTCCATTCATGCCTCAAGTGCCCGCCAAATGCGTTGCGCAGCGGTGACGCTTGTTGCATGTTTGAACTGCTTCACTTGTTTCACCGCATCCAGATGAAGTGCGCATGGAGCACTTCACAAACTCTACAGATCTCTAAAGCTTCTTCGTCCAGACATTAGTATTCGTAGGCGCTTTTGCGCATCTTGAAGCCAGCTGCCCGATATGCCAAGTGCGTGGGCGAGCTGCGCAACTCAACATGGAAACGGTGTGGAGTTTGCTTTACCAATTAACGCACGATCCGGGCTTGACCTCGAGTCTGAGAGATTTGCCTAGGTGGTTAAAAGATGCACATCGCAAGCATGGCACCTAACATATCAATGAGAATGCCTTGGCCGCCTTCCCTTGAAAGGAAGGCACTAATTGCATGTACTAAGTAGAGCATGCAGTAGACCCGGGATTATGCAATGAGCCGTCTCACCCACCGAGCGAAGATCAGATTCAGCCCTGGAAGTGTTTGCCACCATGGGAAAGCAGCCTGCGCCTAGTATTGCAACCGTAGCATGCCTTAGCTTTGCTTTGTCTTTATGTGCACTTCCCGGTGCTCAACGGCAGTCACTGTGTCGATCAGCCTGAGAGGACTGTCCAAAGATGACTGTCCTAGAGCATTTTGGCAGGTAAGCCACAGCACTTCATAGCGCTAGATGTTCTTACAATGGAAGGAAGTCATGGCATGAGAGTGAATCCGGGACATGTCTCTCCTATCCATCATGGAGAGGGTAGGTGCAATGCTGCTTTTGCTGTTGGCGTCCTGCATGCTTTGATCACAGCTTCCAAACAGGAGTCAGCATGGATTCAAATGCCACTTGGCTATTAGGCGGAGGTGCTCATGTAGACTTCTAGATGTTTGTGGAGCGGAGGAGAGTTGACAGGTGGACAGTCCTCGCGCTGTGACGTCGTGCTTGACGGCGGAGGTTTTTCAGTTGATGTGACGGGCTTTTGCTCCAAGAGCCAAAATGCCATGGCCCAATCAATGTGTAAAACTGACATAGGAGACACTGCCTCTGACACTTGGAATCTCGTGAATGCCCGAACATGCCGTTCAAAAAAGCGTGGCTTGCAGTCAAGTTGCGGTCAAGCTGAAGCTGGATCAACAAGGCTAGCTCGAGTCAAAAGCGGCTGATCCAATGGGCTTCAAGGTCATCATGCTGCTCCTTCCGCTTCCCCCAATGTCGCCTGCGCTCTGAATGCGGAAATCTACAGCCTAGTCGACCCGTTTGATTGTTTCGTCACCAGGGTCGAATGCTACTACTGCAGCCGTGAGGGGTTTGATGTGCCATGCGTGCAGAATTGGAGTTGGGTAAGGAACCAAACGTGCTGAATGCCATGACCTCAGTCCCAGCTCTGATAGCTGAACCATTCTCATCTCACAAGCTCATCATGAAGAAATCAGTATATTGCAGAGTATCCCAACCATTCTTGCTTCACAGCTCGACTGAAGAACATTGAAGAACATATCTTTTGTGAAAAGCTTGCATCAATGAGCAAGAGAAGGTCAGAAGCAAGGGAAGCAAAAGTTGGCTCAACTCAGCATCCCGGCTCTAGTATAGAGCGAGCAGGGGCCGGCTTTGTATGATCTCTCATTTCCGAAGCAGACGGCAGACGCCCCCAGTAGCATGTCTTTGGCATAAAAGCTCCAGGCAAAATGCAAGCTTGCAATGCGCACTGAACACAGTCAAGATAACACTTTCAGGTGCTTTAGTAATTGCCGCTGGCGCCTTTGGCGTTGGGAATCCCTTGGTGTCCGCATGTGTACGCCATGGGCATATCGTGTCTGCAAGCACCTACAGCAAGATAGGCGTGCAAATTGCGTGCCGCGATTCATCGACTACTGGTGGGATGAGGGCTGCTGCAGCTGCCAATTCCAAGCCAAGGAAGAAGGGCAGCCCGAATGGTTGTGAAGCGACTCTTGTTCTCCGTGTATAGGGTTTAGGGGTGAAGGGTTTAGGGGTGAAGGGTTTAGGGGTTTTGGGTAGGGTTTAGGGGTTTAGGGGTTTAGGGTTTAGGGGTTTAGGGGTTTAGGGTTTAGGGTTTATAAGCTCCTCTCAAGGTACAAACCAACAAAAAACCAATAGAAATCCAATAGAAACCAATAAAAACCAGTGGAAAACGAATAAAAGCAAATAGAATACCAATAAAAACCAATAATTAGGCCAATAGCCAATAGAAAACCAGTAAACCCAACAAAAACCAATAGAAAACCAATGAAAACTAATAACCATACACCAATAAAAGCCAATAGAAAACCTAGAAAACCAATTCAAACCAATTAAACCAATAAAAACGATAAATACCAATGGACAACCAAAAAATCCAATAGAAAGCCAATAGAATCCATTAGAAAGCCATAGAAACCACTAGGAACCAATAGAAAACCAATAAAATAGGGGTTTGGGGTTTACGGTTTCGGGTTTAGGGTTAATTATATACGGTCTATACGATCATACCGTATATAAAACGATTAACAACAAATACAAAACCAATAAAAACAAAAAAAACAGTAGACAACTAATAGAAACCAATGGACAACCAATAGAAAACCAATTAAAACCAATAGAAAACCAATGAAAAACCAATAGTTAACCAATTTAAAACCACTAGAAAACCGACAAACATCCAATAGAATAACCAATTCAAACCAATAGAAAACCAATAGAAACCAACAAAGACCAATAGAAAACCAATAGAAACCAATAAAAACCAATAAAAACCAGAGGAAAACGAATAAAAACCAATAGAAAACCAATAAAAACCAATAGACCAATAGCCAATAGAAAACCAATACACCCAATAAAAACCAATAGAAAATTAACCAATAGAAAACCAATAAAAACCAATAAAAACCAATAGACCAATAAAAGCCAATAGAAAATCTAGAAAACCAATTCAAACCAATTAAACCCAACAAAAACGGTAAGACCAATAGAAAACCAATAAAAGCCAATAGAAAACCAATAGAAACCAATAGAAAGCCAATAGAAGTTTATGGTTGAGGGCTTAGGGTTTAGGGCTTAGGGTTTAGGGGTTAGTGCTGGTGTAGGGAAGCCCTCAACCATCTCGGCTATGGTTGGCAAACCCTGGCCTTGCTCTCAGCGACTACTCCCCCTCCTGGCAATGCTTCGCCTTCCCGACGCCTTTGCTCGGTACCTGCGCAGTGATGGCCTGTAGACCTGAGCTTCCGCCCAGCGTGGTTCCGACCACATGCACAACATGATGTGCGATCTCCCCACCCTCACTGGTGGTCGACATCGGCGGCATTCCCCCTGAACCTCCGGACGGCTCATGCTGGTCGTAGCCATACTAGGTCAAGGCCCACTGCACCTGATTGGCCTTCAAGTGGTGGCATTGAACCTTGAGTACGCAAACCATCCCTCCCGGGTGGTGGGGATGGTTGCTGCGCTGCGGTGCCGTAGCCCTGCCCAAGCGTTGGGCTCATAACCTGCTGGTGTGAACCACCAGCAGGCTGAGCGGAAGGCACAAGTGGAGTAGCTAAATCCAGCCCTGCCATGGCGCACACAGAGACGGAGGTTTGTACGCGCAGAAGCAAGAACAAACAAAGTCTGAGTTACTACTGCACGGCTACTGCAGGGTTTGGGATCAAATGGCACAGCAGCGTGCCCAGCGTGCCATATAGCCTGCAACCCCAGACCTCCAAGCAATGGCCCATTTGTTGGGAAAGGGGGTCGTCCAGGAGCCTGCTAGTCCGTCGCTGGAAGATGAAATCAGAGACAATATGGGCCATGTTCTACCGGCTTTAATGTCCTCTGGTGCTATCTCACTACGTAGCCGTCGACTAGAATTGCAGCAGCGAATGTGCATGAGTCTGGAGCCCTGGAAACAGCAGATTAAGATGTTGCGGAGATCACTTTGAATAATCTGGCCGCCCGTGCTCTGCATTCAGTTGATATGCAATGCAGTCGCCTGGAAAGGAACCTGCATTCAGTGCCACCCCTTGCGCACGAGGATGGGATGCCGTGCATGAACAGGTGCGGATTAGAATTCTTCACGCAGTTCCATGACGAGATCGGCTTTGCCTCGAAGTGGAAGGGAGCTTGGGAGCCTTTACGCACGACATTGAACATTCGGTGTGACAGGGCCTTGCAGTTGTGTCGGGCCCATGCTTCAGGGCGACAGGCTGCCACTCTGCAAGAGCTCGGCTTGTTGTTCAAGGCTACGGGCTGTCACTCTGCACGAGTTTGGATTGCGCAAGGCAAGAGCTCGCTCTGCTTGCGTTTAGCCTCCAATTGCAGGCGAAGGGCAGTCACTCTGCACGAGCTCCGGCTGCTCTGCGCGCGTTTGGCTTGCTGTTCAAGGCGAAGGCTGTCACGCACGAGTTCGGCTTCCAGCTCGGAGCACGAGCGGCTGTGATATGATGTGCGGCTGGAGCCTGCTGATGTTCTCTAGCAACTCGCTGTGGGTGAAGGCGGGATGCCGGAGCGTTGAGGCCGCAATGGGCTGCCTGATGATAAAAGTGTGTCATGCTCAAGGCTTAGTTTGGGCCTGAAGAGCAACATGGAAAACACACACTGCAATTGACTACGGACATGAACAGACTACTGTGCTTCAACACTCCTCCTTCGCTCCTTCGCTAGGAGGAAGCGACACAGACAAAA